CTTAATGAGGGACCCTCACTGAGTGACTAGAAACAGCAATTCGGCAGAAGCACTTACCCCAGCTCTGCTGCTCCAGGGCTTATTTGCGGGAGGCGCAGGAAAAGGGCGGCCCAGGCGTTACCAACCATCTGACCTGGCTGGGGTTCACCAGACGACACTGCAAAAGGGGCAATAGGTAGATTTTCCCACATGGGTAATGGAGGAGGGAGAGCAGTCAAAGAGGGCCCATGGAACTGGTGCTGGAGGAGAGTGGAAGGCTTGAGTCAAGGGGGAAGGAAACCAATGGGAGTTAGGCACCAAGGTGATATAATGGGAGTTAGGCACCTAGGCACTTTTGAAAATCCCACAAGGTCCCTATCTGTATGTTTAGGTGCCTGAATAAAAGTGCCTTTACAAGTCTGGCCCGAAGAGAAGAGAGAGCACTGCGTCTCAGGCAGCTCCCCCTGTGCACAGGGAATGCTGGGGACCGGACAGGAACCCTACTAAGGGTTAGGGTTAGGGTAGGGTCCGTGCTTCTCTGACTAGGGACTACTGAGTCTTCCCTCCCGGGTTCTCTGAGCACCTGGGCAGGTAAAGCCAACGAGAGCTGTGTTCACTCTCCAGCCGTGGCAATAATGAAGCCTTAAGTGTTTGCGTTCAGTCTACAGAGCCCTGGTCCTTTCCCCTCTCCAGCCCAATGCTCCAGCTCTCAATATGCAGAGGCCCCATATCAACAATTTCCTGGATACATTTTGCTTTTGTTTTCCAGCAACTCTCTAGGCACTGCAGTTCCCGACTGTGATATTGTTTGGGCTTTGCAGAGTCTTCTCCTTCCTCCTCGCTCCGCTCTGCTGCCAGGTTAGGGGAAGGACAAACAACCCCTGGCCAGGGACAGATGGAGAGTTCATTGAAAGAAACCAAAGGGCGTCTCCTCTCCCAGGCTGCTTCTGGCTCCTAGCTCAGTCCAGCCGCCAGGGAGAGAACCCAGCCTCCTTCCCCTGGGGCAGGGGGTTAACTCTTTCAGTGCCAGCTCCTGCAAAGTATCACCCACCCCATCTACAGGAGCAGTCAGCCCTTCACAAACACGAGGCAGGTCAGCATTATCCCCATTTTACACATTGGGCAAACTGAGGCACAGAGCAATGAAGTGATCCGAGGCCACAAAGGGCACCAGTACCTGAGCCAGGACTAGAATTCAGGTTTTCCTGGCTCCCTGTTCCATGCTCAGATCACTTGGCCATGCTGCCATGGGAAGAAGAGGGTGGAGCTCAGGAGTGGGAAAAGTAGCATAAACCTCTTGGGCCTGGTTCTCTCCACATGAACACCCGCTAACTCTACTATGCAATGGGAAGGAGGGGAGGAGCAGGCCCTTGTCCAGTTAGATCTATGGATATATAGATGGCTGTTTCCCCAGAGCTCCTGCCCCATTGGTACCAGAATGTCATGCAACGTCCTTCGGAAAGCCAAGGAGAGCTGCACACCAGTCTGCAGCAAGCCTCGGGTAGCTCACCTGTCACTGGCTTGCTTCGTCTGTCCCCTCTACACGCCCCCAGACACTAGCCACTGGTCATGGGCTCGTCCCCATGCTGCTAGCTGTGTGCCCATCTGCACGTGGTCCGGGCCACAGCCCTGGTCACTCACTGGGTTGCTGGGGTTGGGTCCCAGCACTGGACCCGTGTGTGCATACAGTGTGAATCCAAGTAGAGTTCAGCCCTGGCTCAGCAGCTCTAGGCAAACGTTTGGAGTGCGGATTCTCTTCTTGCAGCCCCTTCTGAGAGCGGAGATCCCACAGTGCAACTGCCTAGGCCCTGAGACTAGGGCCGCCTTTCCCAAACGCCTCAACTGCGTCAGCACACGCCTCCCCAGAGCTCCTGCCCGGGGGCACCCCAGCAAACAGTTTACTGCTTCCGGGACACGGGCAGGTGAAGCATATAACACACTGGCTTTGCAAAAGGGATTTCTGGAACAATTACTGAACCAATTAGCCAGCAGGGGGAGACACAAATCCAAGCAAAATACAAAGCACCTGCACGCAAAGCCCTGCCTCAGTTTCCTCATTGCTTGAGCATTCTTTGGCCTTTGGCTTCCAGGTCCCCTCCGTTGGGCCACACTTCTCCAGCTCATGGCTTCTCCTCCAAGCCTTGGCCTCTCTCTCTGACAGCTTCCTTCAGCCTTGGCAGGTCCCGCAATCAAATATCCCCTCTCCCTCCAAAAGCCTGATCCCTTTGTTCCTCTCTCCTGCCCCGAGTTTCCTGTGTCTCTGTGACCCACCCAGGCCCCGTGTTTCTAAAGGGCTGTACGGGCACATCTCTGTTCTCTCTCTCGGGGCAGTTCCATTTCTTCAGCCCCTAGCCCTTGGCAGAGAAGTTGAGAAAACTAGGTTTGTCTAGGAGGCAGTGACTCCTCTGCTCTGCCTGGGCAAGATCTAGCCAGGTGCTGATAGTCATTCATAGACAGACACCCAGCACCACCCTCTGCCCCTTAGCATGAGGAGTGTGAGGGGACAATATAGTCGCTGACAGCCCTAACAGACAGTTCATAAACTCAACTTCATACGTTATACGCTGACAGATTCCCACCGTCATCACAATTCATTGGCCACCTGACCTCTTCTCCCCCCCCCACCCCCCCGCTGCTGCAGGAGGTGGTGCCTTTGATGGAATGCACCCCCGACTGGACAGGCTACATCCTTCCCGACTGACATTCCAGACGCATGCTGTGTCCGACTGACGCTTCTCAACGGCAGCCAGACTGGACTTATTTGCTTGTCACGGACCCACCGGTTGTTCCTGTTTGTGACCCAGACTCCAAGCTCTTGGATAACACGTCTAACATCTGAGGATGTTTTACTGCTCATTTCCTTCCTCATCACCGTCTCAGCAACTTCTGTTCCTTCCAGACAGCCTCTTTTCTCCCAACCTTGGATCTGCTCGGGCCCTCGCTGGCTGATTGACTACATCGTGATCTTCCCCTTTCTAGAAAAAGCCTGATCCAAGCCCTTTGAAGCCAAAGGAAAGAGCCCTGCTGACTTCAGTGGCCATTGGATCTGGCTCACAAAGGCCTCCCACTGATTCGTGTCCTTAGGAGAGTGGAGAAGTTCACGACCGTTGCTTCTCTGAGCATTCTGTGCACTGGCCCAGTACGCACCTATTCAAGCCCACTGACCCTGGAGTAGCCGCCCACGAGCCATGGCTACAGCAGTGCCAATGGGGCATGAAGCAGGACGAACTTGGCCTAGGAGGGTCCCCAGGCAATGGATCTGTTTGGTGCATTGGCTTGTCACCTGGCAGTCAAAGCCGCTTTCTGTCTTTTGGCCTTTCAAGTGTCCCTGGCTGAAAACACAGAGGCCACCAGGACTTACCTTCGCTCAGCATCTCTCACCCCACACAGCCCTTCATAAAATCGCCCCCTCCTAAATACACTGATATTAACAGCACATTGCCATGAGGGGGAGGGATAGCTCAGTGGTTTGAGCCTTGGCCTACTAAACCCAGGGTTGTGAATCCAATCCTTGAGGGAGCCCATTTAGGGATCTGGGGCAAAAATCTGTCTGGGGTTTAGTCCTGCTTGAGCAGGGGACTGGACTAGATGACCTCCTGAGGTCCCTTCCAACCCTGATATTCTATGAGAGTGATAACTCGGTTCTCCTACCCACCTTAGCTTGCCCCCGTCGGAGAAGATGCCTCGACCCATTATAGAGAGGAAGGATGGGCTTGCAGGTAGGGCCCCTGCAGCGTAAAGGAGTGTAGGCTGCAGTTACACCCACTTTAAGGCTCCTTCTTGCTGCCCGAGCAGCGACAAGGGGTCTCCATGTACGTGGGAGTCCGATTGTTTGGCCAGGACACCAGGGGCCAAAACCCCACTGGTGAAAAGTGCCACATGCCACAAGGGCACAGGACTGCAGGTTTCCATGGCAACTTGAAGATGGCACCACTCATGTCATAACTATAAAGGGAAGAGTAACAACTCTCCTGTGTACAGTATTATAAAATCCCTCCTGGCCAGAGACTCCAAAATCCTTTTACCTGTAAAGGGTTAAGAAGCTCAGGTAACCTGGCTGACACCTGACCTAAAGGACCAATAAGGGGACAAGATACTTTCAAATCTTGGGGGGGTGGGGGGAAAGGCTTTTGTTTGTGCTCTTTGTTTGGGAAGTCATTCGCTCTTGGGACTGAGAGGGACCAGACATCAATCCAGGTTCTCCACATCTTTCTAAACAAGTCTCTCATATTTCAAACTTGTAAGTAAACAGCCAGGCAAGGCGTGTTAGTTTTTATCTTTGTTTTCTCAACTTGTACCTTTTACTAGAGTGTTTATCTCTGTTTGCTGTACTTTGAACCTGAGGCTAGAGGGGGGTCCTCTGAGCTCTTTAAGTTTGATTACCCTGTAAAGTTATTTTCCATACTGATTTTACAGAGATGATTTTTACCTTTTTTCTTTAATTAAAAGCCTTCTTTTTAAGAACCTGATTAATTTCTCCCTGTTTTAAGATCCAAGGGGTTTGGATCTTGATCCACCAGGAGTTGGTGGGAGGAAGGAGGGGAATGGTTAATTTCTCCTTGTTTTAAGATCTGAGGGGTTTGGATTTGTATTCACCAGGGAATTGGTGAAGAGTTTCTCAAGGCTTCCCAGGGAAGGGAATCCACTTGGGAATGGTGGCAGCGGACCAGATCTAAGCTGGTAGTTAAGCTTAGAAGTCTTCATGCAGGCCCCCACATTTGTACCCTAAAGTTCAAAGTGGGGAAGCAGCCTTGACATCTCACTGTCCAGGACCCCCCTAACATTATGCTGAGGGCCTTGCCTCGTGGAGAACAACTATGGTACATTCCCACATCCTGGGCTTTCCTCGGAGGTCTCCCATCCCAGTGGGGACAGGCCCTGCCCTGGCGAAAGCAGACAGGATCACAGCCGGGGGTGTGAATTAGAATGGCAATGCACTCCTCCCCCGAACTCCCTAGACATAGTCGGTATTGAATGGAGCGCGGTGAAAGTCAAATAAAGGCACAGCTCACACCGAAAAGCACTTTTCTGCCACGCTCTTTAATAACGATATGTCAGTGTACATTCGGGCAGCAGGGACAACATGCCGCCTTTAAGACTCTGGGGGGTTGCTGCTTTTCATTCATCAATACTTTTGTTTGTAACCATTGTAAAAAAAAAAAAAACCAACGAGGAAGAGAAGAGCTGCCATCAATGAGTGTGTGGGAGACAGTGTGAGAATGTGTGAGCGTGTGTGTGGCGCGGGAGCCCTAAAAAGCACAGTAAGACAGCGATTGAATGAGGCACAGTGTTCACATCACAGCATTTTGGGGTAGCCCCTAGGCTCAGTCAGGGCCCTTGGTAACCCACCCAAAGCCCTAGAAGTCTTGGGAGGGTTGGGAAAAAGCAGGCGGAGAGGGGTTTCAGCAGAGATGCACTTCAGCCTCCAAAGTCTTCCCTGGAGACAGAGCTTCACAAAGGTACAGGGCAGCTGGACTCCAGGGTCCTGGAGAGACTATTCCCTCATGTTCTAAAGCAGGACAAGATACCACCCCCAAATAGGGTGACCAGATGTCCCGATTTTATAGGGACAGTCCCGATTTTTGGGTCTTTTTCTTCTATAGGCTCCTATTACCCCCCCACCCCAACCCCCTGTCCCAATTTTTCACATTTGCTGTCTGGTCACCCTACCCCCAAACCCTGGGCTCTCTGCTGCTAACGCTGGGCTTCTCTGCTGGCAGACGCTGGCTCTGTGCAGGCAGCATCACAGTGGGGAATGGAGGGGGAGGAAATGGATTTTATACACCCCCTGGGGGAGTCTGACCCTGTCCCAGGGCATCCCCTGCTTGGTCACTGCTCTCTCCCTGTACTCACATCGTGCAAGGAGGGTGGGGGCGGGAGGGTTGGGGCTCAGCAGTGGTGACACTCGTCGGTGTCTGGCTCTACAGTCACACAGGGGGAGATGTTGCCCAGCCCTGGCTCAAATGGGGTTTTCTCTGCATTTGATTCAAATTCCCTCTGTCCCAGGCAGATTTTAAGACTCTCAACTGCATCCTCTGCTCAAAAGAGGGAGCAAGTTGCGTGTGCTGTCAGAGAATCCTCTTCCTCCAGGCAGGAGCAGATTCCCCTCTCCTCCTGCTGATGCCATGGAGTGGGATAAACAGCCACTTCCTGCCTTTAATCAACCTCAGGGCGCAGTGGGGGGGAAAAATATCTGGAAAGAAAAACTCACTTCCTGTTGCAGAAGAAAAAGATAAAGCCTGGGCTCATTAAAGTGAATTTTACTGTGGCGAGAAGGGAAGGAGTCAAACACAATGTCCTTGAAATTTCCTCCACGGGGCTGTGTCCACGAAAACAGGATAAAGCCACTTCCGCTGTCTCTGCCATGGAGCTCGAATCTGGGCGGGGGGGGGGGGGAGAATACTTGGGCTCTGGGGGTGGGAAGAGGGTGATGTTCTCTCTGGGTGGGAAGGGGTTAGAGGCAGGGGGTCCCTTTCGTGCTTTACTTCAGGGCATCCAGATGAGTGCAGACCTGTACAAACACGTCGTCCACGGAGCCTTCTGCGTTCAGCTGTAGGGGCGAAGCAGGAGAGCCAGTCAGGACACGGCCTTAGAGACGCCCCTAGACTACGTCCTACATCGTGCAGCACCGCACAGGCCTAGGACAGCCCAGCTCCCAGGTCTCCATGCTGGCCAGAGGATCTACTCCTGGCAGGCGCAATGCCCTCAGAATCCATTCCACAGCGCCGAGGCCTGTCTGGCTCCAGGGGCACCGGGCCCGAGGCCTGTCTGGCTCTGGGGGTGCCGGGCCCAAGGCCTGCTGGGAAAGTCCTCTCTGATGCTTCTCTTCCCTGCCCAGAGCCCCATCCCTCATTAGCCCTCCTCCCCCGCTTGTTGATCCACAGTAGAAGGGCATGCTGACAGCTGACCTTGAATATGGCGTGCTCTGGGATTTCCTCAGCTCGGAGGCATCTGAGGGTGCATTCTGCCCCTTTAACCCCTGGGAAGCCCCAAACTATCTGAGACACAAGGACGGCAAGTGGCTCAGACCTGCCCAAACCCACAATAGGCTCTGCAGAGTCTCAGCAGATGGGAAAGGGCCAGTTCCACCCCCACCCATTCCCAGTTCCAGCCATGAGCCGAGCGGCTTGTGGCCAGCGTACCTTCCGGACGATCCCTCTTTTCTCGTAGAACGTGATGACCGGCTCAGTGGCCTTGTAGTAAGTGTCCAGGCGCTTCTTGATCGTCTCCTCATTGTCATCCACCCGCCCGCTGGTCTCACCCCGTTTCAACAAACGCTTGACCATGGTGTCCTTCCCGGCATCCACGTAGAGCAGCAGCGTTGGGGGGGCGATCTGTTGTGGGAGGAGAACCAGGGAAACGTCCTTATCTATCCAGCCAGGCTTTGGCTTTACCAGGTTCATAGTTTCCTCCACTAGCCCTGCAGCATGATGACCTGAAGGGTGGGGGAGACCATGCCCCGAGCTGTCACTGAATCACCTTGACTGGGGGGAAGGGAAGGGAGAGCTGGGTCTGGAGCAGTCACCCTTTAGGGTAACCAGGTGTCCGGTTTTCAACCAGAACACCCGGTCGAAAAAAGGGATCGTGGCAGCTCCGGTCAGCACAGGCTCCCTGCTAACCTCCATGCCACGTGGCTCCCGGAAAGCAGCCGGCATTTCCCCCCTCCGACTCCTATGTGTAGGGGCAGCCAGGGGGCTCTGCACACTGTCCCCACCCCAAGCACCGCCCCCGCAGCTCCCATTGGCCAGGAACCATGGCCAATAGGAGCTGCAGGGGTGGTGCCTGCGGACAGGGCAGCGCGCAGAGCCACCTGGCTGCAGCTCCGCGTAGAAACCCGGAGGGGGGACATGCTGCTGCTGCAGGGAGCTGCTTGAGGTAAGTGCTGCCCAGAGCCTGCACCCCTGAGCCCCTCCATGCCCCAACCCCTTGCCCCAGCCCTGATCCCGCTCCCACCCTCCAAACCCCTCGGTCCCAACCCAGAGGACCCTCCTGCACCCCAAGCCCCTCATCCCCATCCCCACACCAGAGCCCGCACCCCCAGCCGGAGCCCTCACCCCCTCCTGCACCACAGCCCCCTGAGCCAGCCCGGTGAAAATGTGCGAGTGAGAGAGAGTGGGGAGAGCAAGCGACAGAGGGAGGGGGGATGGAGGGAGTGGGGCGGGGCCTCAGGGAAGAAGCGGGGCAAGAGTGTTCAGTTTTGTGCGAGTAAAAAAGTTGGCAACCCTATCACCCCACACTAACCCCGTGCAGACGAGGGTCAGGGCTGTTACCCCAGTGTGTGCACCAACATACATGCCCTCACACCAGCCATCCCGTGGCAATCAGGTTGGGGGTAACTGGGTGACCCTCAGTAATGGGTGGCTCTGCCTTTGCTCTGGAGCATGCTACTGCATGTGTGCCAGGGGCACATTCAGCCTCCGTTTGCTTGTTACTTTGCACATGTTCATTAGCCCAGGCCATTTCCCACCCTGACTTGTAGTTCATCCCAGGACACAGCCTGGCCACAGCCTGCTAAAAAGGATCCTTCCTCTTCAATTGTTTTTTCCAGCTGTTTCTATGGAGCAACGATTGCGCCACCTTGTGCCAGTCCCATGTATTACAGCCAGGGATCCTCCAACGCAGGTACCTTCCTCTCTCACAAGTTTTCTCCCCGGCCTCTCCAGGCCTGCACTAGCAGGGTTACAGTTTCCCTGGAGCAGACAGTAAAACCTGCTCCCAGGCAGCACACGGAACAGCCTCCCTGCCCTAACCCCATTAACAATACCATCATATACAACCTTTCACTGCAAACATTTTCAGGCTGTTTAAGGGGCTCATTGCAGCCATCTCTAGGGTGGAGCCTGACAGCTATTTAACAACACGCAGCAACGCTATCTCAGCAGTTCAGGATGGGAAGTGAAGACTAATCTGACACCCAATTGAACATGACTGGGTAACTGGGGGAGGCAGAATATAATTACTCAAGTTGGGCCAGGACACCAGGGTCAAAATCTGTTCTACAAAAAATAGCAGTGATCCAGACCTTGGCTTGACATCTCAACCTAAAGATGGTGCCTCCAGCAGCAGCGCTTCTCCTGGTGCCACGTGGGGCTTTGGTTCAACTCCCCCCGAGGAGATGGTCTGCCCCAATGAATCGACCCCACCACTGCCCCATTTCTAGGGTTGCCTTATCCAACCACTGAGCAACCCTACCACGCTGAGTTTGTGACAAGACTACCACCCTCTTCCTCACCTTCTTCTCAAACTCCTCGCCTTGTTTCACCTCTCGGGGGTAGCCATCAATCAGGAACCCCTTGGAGACATCTGCCTTGGCCACCATGGCGTCTCGCAGCATATCAAGCACCGTGTCCTGGGGCGAGGGGAAATGCAGGTCAGAGTTAGGGACAGCGGTTTCAGTTCCAGCTACCTGGCAGCTTTGCAGAGTCTCCCGCAGCCGCTGGGCTCCCCTTCCCCATGGGCAGCCTCATCTCTTAGTGCAAAGCCACAGGAGCATCAGTGTTTGTCCTCGATCACACCAACAGACAGATCCTTTTATAGGATCCAGGGACCATGTGCAGCTCCTGTCTCAGCAGAGGAGGCACAGCAAACAGAGGCCACTCCCTGTGGTCTCTGGGCACCAACACTCACAGACATGGAGCTTGTCATCCCCCATTTTATACCCTAACTTGCTCCCCTCCCCAGCTGCCAGAGCACTTTCTCCCTGGAGCTGCCAGGAGCGACCAGACTCCTGGGAAGCCAGGTCCATGAGCCACCCCCAAAGAGCTGGGAAAGAGGCGCCCCATCAGCGGCCTCTCCATGCACCTGCCTCAGCTCCCCACAATGCACTGCAGCCAAGAGAGCGGGCAGCCTGAGATGGCCTCTGCATTGGGTTCTCTCACACGCCAGCATGGGTAGCTGGAAATGTGCCAGGATGTAACGCTTTAAGACCCACTTCCTCCCACTGCAGAAGTGGCCCAGACTCACCAGGGGCACCAGCTCTCCCTTCTCCATGATGGCAGAGAGCTTCTTGCCTCTCTCCGAGCCAGAGTTGACCTCTGCCCTCAGGAGGTCACCGGTGGACAGGTGGGTGTAGCCATACTTCTGGACAATCTTCTCGCATTGGGTCCCTTTTCCTGAGCCGGGCCCGCCTGCAGTTCACACAAGGACAAGGCACAGACTCAAAACACAGGAGGAGGAGGAGGGGGAAAGAGCTCAGGTGCTTTCTAGGCAAAAATCTCACTTAGGAACAGCCCTGTTTCATCCTCCTTTGTTCTTACTGACTAGCACTCAACTGGGACCTTCGCTAAGGAGTTCAGGGCTCCTGCTAGGCTCAGAGCCCTCTGCCCGAGGCAGCCCAACCAGCTCTGGGGAGATTATTATGACCTCATCAGTGTGAAGCAAAACAGGCAGCAGCTGAACCCCAAAGCCAGAAAGCTCCTGTCTTTGTGTCACTAGCGCTAGTCACAAAAGGTGGGCGGCGGGGAGAGAAAAAGCGATACGTGCAGAACTGCCTCCACTCCCCTGTGCTGTACCTGATCTGGGAGTAACTAGAGGCCTTCAGGGCACCCTCCCCAAGAACACCGAAAGCAAAGGCGGCAAGCACCCTACAGGTCCTCTAGTCCATCTCGGTGCCACAGCAGGGCGCTCCCTGTTGCGCACTCCCACGTATTCTGTCCAGTCTGGTTTTGGGTGATAGACACGACTTCCCCTTGGAGGCCAGGGCAAACATTTGCAGACATGGCTGGTGATTTTTAGAGAGCAACGTAGGACACCTTAAAGGCACCTGATGACCCAAAAGCTCCGAGCACCTGCCTGCTGAAAACCAGGCTCCTTTACAGGATCTCAGGTTGGGCCCTGAAATCCCAGGTCTCTTTGAAAACTTCGGCTTAAAATTTGAAGGACGGGGTCCCACGTCACAGCCCCAACGAGCCCAGTGGACCGAGCCCGGGCTGAAAGCGCTGCTCACGACTCCTCAGCTTGTCACTGAGCCCATCGCCGACTTACCCACCACGAAGATGATTTTGCTGTTCTTCAGTTTTTCTGCGGGAGAAGGAAAAGCAGAGAAGAGGGTTAGTCTGAGGGCGAGTGAGCGATCGCAGGAAGGAAACCTCCACCGAGCCGGGACAAATCCCTCTCGACCAAATCCCCAGGGGATCTGCCTGGAGGAGAGGACTTGGCAACCAGCCCCAGTTCCCCGGGGGTAAACGGGAGCAGAACATGGTCAGCAGTGGGCCGCTGGCGGTGGCTTCATGGCAGGCGCTATGGGGCCATTGCCCCCCAGGGTACCTTTGCCAGCCCTTTCCGCTGCGGTAGCCAGGCAGGAGCACTCCGTCCCCATCTCTCCGACTCGCTGGCTCCTGCTCGCCTCTGTTCCCCCCCCTTCTTGCCAAGCAGTTTCCGCTCAGCACATTTTGATGCCTGAGCCAGCGGCCTCCCTTCGGCTGGGCCAGGCTGGAGCCTTGTGGTCAGAGCTAACACACATTGCCACGGAGACGGTTGCTAGGATACGGCAGGAGCCAAGCCTCAGCCACATCACAGAAGCCAGTGGGCAAAGATTCTGATCTCAGCTTGGCTGGTGTCAATCTGGAGTGACTCCATGGGGGGATGGTTTAAATGGGCTCAGACACCAGCTCTTGGCGGCACCTCTCACGGAACAGCCTTATACCACAGAACCCTACGGCCATGAGCCCCCACAACATGGCGCCCACACCAATGCCACCCAGTACCCATCCTGGAGCACTGAGCTGTAGCTTTTGCTGTGTATATATAAGGGCAGGGGAGAGAGTGGTAGGAAATCCCAGGTTCCCCAGACACACAAGGCAGGGCACAGGGTGGCATTCATCTTCCTTCTGACCGGGGGGATGGGTTCCTGTTGGCCTCTGCCCCACTGCCTCAGATGCCTCCAGAGAGAGGACCAAATTCATCCCCAGCCCCAGCACAGCCTTTGTGCCCACCTCTTGCACAAGCCCATCATCTCAGATATGCCCACTCTCCATGGTATACCCACCACCTGACATGCCCACTATTTCCGACACGCATTCCCCTTTTCCTTGCCCACCACCTCTGGTCATTAAACTCTCTGTGTGAAATCCTGCTGCCAGTTACACCAGTATAAAGCTGGAATAACTCCACTGGTGTAAATACAGTCGGGGCTGCAGAGCACCATTTAAAGTGGTGGGGTGACAGATTTCCACCACACCCCTGCCTAGCCCTCTCTTCCCTTCTCAGGTGACCCCCTGCACCAGCAACCTGACTCTCACTCCCCCCCCCCATAAGCCCTTACACCCACCCTCTGGTGGGTGGGAGCTCCAGTGTCACTCAGGTTTGGCCTGGCCCAAAAGTGGTCAGGCCTATGGCCTAGATGACTCCCCCAGCCTATGCACAGAGTTACTCTAGCTTTACACCAGCATGACTGAGAGCAGAATCTGGCCCCCATGCCAAGCGCAACAGCAAATATTACCCTGGATTAGCACCAGGAGGGCCGGCTCACTTGCATTTGGCCGCAGCTATAAATCCCCACCCAGGAAAGAATCTCCTCCAAAAAGCCAGAGCGACAAGAGAGACAACGACAAATCATTGACCCTCTCAGAAAAGTTGCAACCTCAGTGTCCCAGCTGCCCCCTCCCCCAATTCACATTGGGCCAACATCCCAGCTCCACAACTGAGAGGGTCCCTCAGGGTCACAACCATTCCGGGAGTGGGCAATTGAATTCAAAGTCACCATTAATTCCAGTGCCTGGAGCTGATAGAGAGCTCCTCTCCCTGAGTACAGTACACTGGAACATTTTCAAAGCTGGATGAATGGGCCTGTCTCGAGTGTCACAAGGACAAGGCAGAAGTGCTAAAAATAAAGGAGGGTGTTCTCAGAGCTGGCTGGGGCTCGGAGTCTGCTCCCAGCAATAAGATGTCTTCTGGTTACAGCCTTCTAAAATTACACCTCCAAGCAGCTGGGGAACAGGGTGGCCTTTGGCAGCTAGGTCCTTTCTGATCACGCTGGCAGATCAGATCCGCCTGCGCCAAGGAGCTCATGCAGGGAGAGGCAGAGCCATGGTTCAAGCACTGTCTGAGACACTGAGGGACTGGGCGTGGTTGGCTCACCACAAAAGCAATTTTCCCTCTCTTGATATTGACACTTCCTCATGAATTATTGGGAGTGTACCATATACACCCTGACTAAATTGGCCTTCAACATTGGTTCTCCACTTGTAAGGTAACTCCCTTCTCTTCATGTGCCAATATACATTTATGCCTGTTTCTGTAATTTTCACTCCAGGCATCTGAAGAAGTGGGTTTTTTACCCACAAAAGCTTATGCCGTAATAAATCTGTTAGTCTTTAAGGTGCCACCTGACTCCTCGTTGTTTTTGTCTGAGACACTGGGGACGTTCTCCATGAATTGGAGTAAAACTGGGAATAGAGGGAAGGATGTTTGATGGTTAAGGCACTGCACAGGGAGCCAGGGGATGGGGGTTCAATTCCTGGCTCTGTCACAGATTTGCACTATGGATAACATTTGCAAAAATGCTCAAGTGACATAGGAACTTAAGTCCCACATTTTCAAAGGCTTTGTCTACACTTCAAATCCTACAGCATAGACACTCACTACAGTGATGGGAGGGGATTCTCCCACTGGTGTAGCTAATCTGCCTCCCCAAGAGGCGGTAGTTAAGTCAATAGAGGGAATTCTTCCTAGCAATGTCTACATCGGGGTGAGGTCGGTATAACTGCATCTCTCGGGGGTGTGGATTTTTCACATCCCCAAGAGACGTAGCTATGCTGATGTAAGTTCCCAGCGTAGACCAGCCCAAAGTGGCTTCAAAGTAGCAGCCTCAAGTCTCACGAAAGCCAACGCTTTTGAAAATGGGACTTGGATATATTTGAAAATTGTTATCCCTTACTCCCTTTGTGCCACAGTTCCCATCTGTCAAACAGGGATAATACTTCACCACCCATGAGGGATGCTGTAAGGATATATTCAGAGCCCATGGCAAGGGTGGCCAAAGACAGAGGTGTACAGACAGGGGATTGGTCCTAGGTTGTATAGCCTGTCACTGGCTCAGGTTGGTAGTAACAAAGTCGTCATAGAATCATAGAAGATTAGGGTTGGAAGAGACCTCAGAAGGTCATCTAGTCCAACCCCCTGCTCAAAGCAGGACCAACCCCAACTAAATCATCCCAGCCAAGGCTTTGTCAAGCCGGGCCTTAAAAACCAGTAAGGATGGAGATTCCACCACCTCCCTAGATAACCCATTCCAGTGCTTCACCATCATCCTAGTGAAATAGTTTTTCCTAATATCCAACCCAGACCTCCCCCACTGCAACTTGAGACCATTGCTCCTTGTTCTGTCATCTGCCACCACTGAGAACAGCCGAGCGCCATCCTCTTTGGAACCCCCCTTCAGGTAGTTGAAGGCTGCTATCAAATCCCCCCTCACTCTTCTCTTCTGCAGACTAAATAACCCCAGTTCCCTCAGCCTCTCCTCGTAAGTCATGTGCCCCAGCCCCCTAATCATTTTCGTTGCCCTCCGCTGGACTCTCTCCAATTTGTCCACATCCTTTCTGTAGTGGGGGGTCCAAAACTGGATGCAATATTCCAGATGAGGCCTCACCAGTGCTGAATAGAGGAGAATAATCACTTCCCTGATCATCTGATGGCTCTTCTTTGGCCTGGGAGGAACGAGTTGAGTGGTTCTCAGTCCAGTTCCTAGTGAACAACTGCCGACCTCACAAAAACCACCTTCACAACCAGCACTAATCGGCTCCTTTGGCAGCAGTTGTGCCAGGGACTGACTGTGGGCCATGGAGACTGAACTCCCCTCTTGGAACAGTCCCTGCAGGCCAGTGTTGAGGTCTCATGGCAGGACAGTGCGGGGACTGTACTGCAGCTGCCAGGGCTGTGCCCAGTGAGACACTAGGGCTGTTATTCTGTGTTTACAGGGCTGTGAGAGCAGAAAGCAACCCACTGCCTCCAGGCTAGAGCAGGTAAAGACCCAGGTGAAACCCAAAAAGGAGAGAAGGGGGGGGGGGGAAAACACCCTGACAGCTGCAATCCCTCACACTGGGCTCAAGTGCGAGGATCGCGCATGGATGCTGCCAGCCAGGACCAATTGTCCAAGGGAGGTGCCTGGCTCGGGCTTCGTTCTCTCCGGCTCCTGATCCTTACAGCATGCAGGAGCCTTGCATTTCCGCTGTTCTGGGCTGGCAGAGAGATGAGCGGAAAAGAGGAAGAGACGCAAGGAGCGACACACGGTTTCTAAAAGGGGATAACGCAACAACAGAACCTGAGCCTGGTTAGGAGAGATGGCCCTGAGCCAGAACTCTGGATCCAACATCCCTCCCCTCCCCCCCCCGCCATGCCCTGGATCTGCACTTGGGGGCTCAGGCCCATTGCTATGGGCTTAGACAACTGGATGTAGCCTCAGTAAGATGGAGACAGACGGGTGGAGAGAAGGAGATGTGCCCAGGGAAAGGGAGCTCTCACCTGTTGCCATGCTGAGGAGATCTGGGCAAAGAAGCTCTTCAGTCTGAAAGGAAACAGAACTCCTGGTTAGACAGTGCAGGAGGGCCGGGGGGTAGGGGGGAGTCAGCCATGGGCTTTGGGAAGGGGCTGGTTTGGCCTTCAGAAACAGCCCCAGTCCCATTCCTCCTGAGGCTAAGTAGTCTTTAATGCTTCCCAGTGCTCATGCTTCCCCTTAGCTCACTGGGTTTCAATCTCTCCCCACCTCTCAAATACATTTCCTAGAAAATGGAAGAAGGTGATTCCCACTGTTAGCTCGGCTGCCAGCATCTTGGAGCAGAAGAAGATACCAGCTCCCCCCCTGCACACACACGGCTACCCTCACACGAATGGCACAGGCCTACAAACACAGCATGGTAACCGGTCCCTTGTTCTGTTCCAGAGAGTGACTGACAAGGCTGGAGACAGAGGTACAGGTTCCTGAGGCTCCCCGGCTGGTTGGCAATCAGGCACCTACTTATTGGAAGCTGGTGCATTTGAAGACATGTCCGAAGACTTCAGAGGAGGGCGCCCCAACCTTCCCTGCAGCTCAGAAGGCTCTCAGCCTACAGCCCACTCTAGCTTAGCGGTTCTGAACCAGCAGTCCCATTACCTGATGGACACGGACACGTCAGAGCCTTCCTCTAGCTGTTTCTGCTACACGGTCTGATCCAGAGAACAGCAGTCCCTCGGCCACCCGGGAGTGTCTCAGTGCCTATGGCACGTCACTGTGACAACCAGCCCTTCCTGTCTCCTCTTCCACCCAGGGAGGGAGAGAAAGAGCGAGAGAGAAAACACAGGAGACAAAACCCACCTGAGACCGGAACCGTGAGAGAGATTCTGAGCAGCGGGAAATCAGAGAGAGCCAGAGATGGGCAGGGGGACAGACCCCATTAGTCAGACCTGGTCACCAACCCGGCTGATCCAGTCCTGCCTGTCACCGCAGCAGCACTTGGTGTCGGAGCCTGGCGGCTGCCTTTGCATATTTAATAAGCGTTGCTTCGGTGACAGCGGGAGCTCAGGGGATGAAGGAGCATCCTACAAAACCTGTTCCAGCCTCGTAACCCATGGCTTAGTGCACCGCCCCAGCAGGCAAGAGGCCTGGGTTTGAGCCAACTGGATCTCCACACTGAGGCAGCAGCACACTCCGCTCCTTGGAGGGCAGGTGGAGAGCCTTGCTTTGGCCATTGGGGGACGCTCCCACCCCCCTCGTTCCTGCTTCCTCTTCTCCAGCCCCATTTCCCCCCCCATGGGATGCAGGGCCCCCCTCAGCCAGGCGGTCAGGTCTCTTCTCCTGAGCGGTGCACTCAGGCAGAGTGCTCTGGTGAAGATTTGGCACAGCTAGCAGCCAGGGCTTCGACTCTGCTCTGGGCCCAGCTGGGAGCCATGTCTCCAGGGCAGCAGGCAGATTCCACTGTGCAGCGTTTGCCTGGGGGACTAGCTGCTCTCAAGCAGAGTTTGGGGGTGGAAACCAAGAGGGTGAAGGGGGCTCTGACTCGCTGGCTGGTGTGAGGGGGTGAAGTGGGGAAAACTGGGGCATCTGGAATAGCTGGAGTGGGGGCGGGGGGAAGAGTGTGAGTTTAGCCTTCCTCTTCCTGAGACAGATTAAAGGAAGAGCACTGGACATTCCCCCCCGGAGTCTCCGAAGTCTCCCGGGGCTGGAGCGCTCCAAGCCAGTGGCATGCAAGGGGCCTTGCAGGAAGAGCTTTAGATAAAGCTTAGCGGTGGCGTATGATTAATGAATGATGAGCTCCTCTCCCTGGCACAGTGTCACTGCACTCAACCCAGGGGGGTCACAACGGCACAGGAGGGGTCCTGTGTGCAAGGGCCTGTACATAGTCCTTCCCGGCTGGGGTCTCTACAGCCTCATCCCAGAGGGTTTGCGATTAGGCAAGAAGCAACTTGATAGTAATAGTCCATCTCCGTGGGCCTGCAGTTCACAGGGCAGGAATCAAGGAGGGCAGAGAAGCACCGTAACAGGAGCCCTTTAAAATTTACTACGGCGCCATCGTAGAGGGAGTTTGGGAGACACCCCCTTAGCACTGGGCGCACAGGATAGTGGGGACAGGGTTGGGCTGCATTATTCAGTACATTTCCCCCATGAGAACTTCCCCCAAATAATTCCTAGTGCGGATCCTTTAGCAAAACAGCCAGTCTCGATTTAAAAATTGCCGGTAATGGAGAATCCAACAGGACCCTTGGTAAATTGCTCCCCATCCTCTAGGGCTTCCAGCTCACAGAGAATCCCAGCAATGTAGGGCTGGAAAAGGACCTCAAGAGGTTGAAGTGCCTGTTCAGGTATTAGCCCCCTAAGCTGCCCAAACCAGCAAAATCCATTCAGAACGAGTCACCATCAGCGAGATCGCCAGCAGACCCATCCAGCCCCTCTTCAAACCTCTCCAATGTGCAGGGAGAGCCTGTCTCACTTGTCTCCAGCCTAGAATGGCCAGTCCAAAGGGTTCATAAATCATGAGTCAGGTCCCCAAAAAAGACAATTTCCTTCAAAGTCATGAGACTTTTTAAAATCATAAATGTTGGGGTCTTTTTGTCTTTGGTTTCTGAGCCATTGGGCGGCACTTGGAGTCATGTTCTCAAGTTTTTCTCTGCAGTCAGGAGGGCTGGAAACTGACTTTTTAAACAAATAAACAAAAGCTGAGAGTCTCATCTAATCACATGACTCCAAGACCTGGGGCTTTAAGAAAAACACCAAGTATCTTGTGATAAAATCGCCAGAGCTGGCATTGCTGCATTCACCTGGAAACGGAGCCAACTGGAGTATGCATGAGTGAGCCTGGCACCGCACCCCTGCGATAGGAACTCCCTCGAGGGTTGCTCTCTCTCACATGGACCTTGCACACTTCAAAGCTCACTTTCAGAATTCACAGCTTCCCTCTCCCCCGGCCCTCATTCCCAGAGAGGAAGTCGTATGACCCAGACTCCACTATGCCCCTCCCTAGCCCAATCACGGCTCCACCCTTTCAGAGCACCTGATTCCAGCTGACTTTACTCCACTGAGGGGCCAAGCGAATCCCTGGGTGTCACAACAGGAATGATCTTGGCCTGACAGCTTACGATGCAGCCACCTTAGGTTGGAAACAGAACGCTTACATCAGACACCTGTAGTTACCTGCCTCTGCGCTGCTCAGTGACCACATCTCATCAGCTCTCAGCTTCCTTTGTTGCAGGAAGTTAACCCATCTGATTGACAGTCCACCCAAGTAAGCACATTCTTAAAGGTATAGGGCCCAAATTCCACCCTGAGTTAAACTGGTGGGGGCCAGTAGGGTTACTACATATTGATCACCGCATGGCCCTATTGCCTTGCAGCAATGTTGAATTCATGTGTGTTGAATGGAGAGTGAGTAAATGCAATACAGACATGTAAACACTAGGGGGAGCATGGGGAATAGACACATCAGGGGAAAAACTGGAGAGAAGGCAGATGCATTTGGGGTGAGGGTGGAGTTGCTCCCATTTTCACCCCCTGATTGTGGGTCTACACTGGGGGTTATTGAACTGGTATTATGCCGATGCAGCTGCACCAGAGTGGACGCCCCGCACAAGTTGAACAAGTGCCGCTTACCCTGGGTGTCGGTGTAAATCCCCTTTGACACCAGCGCAACTACATTGGTGCAAACTCCCCCTTCTCACTCCCATGCAGACAGGGCCTTACTCCAGTCTGTAGTGTGCAGGAACAGGATAGTGTCCCTCTGTATAGCTCGCAAGCCCTCTAGTGGTGGATGCTGTATGTTATCAGACGCAGCCAGCGCAGCAGGATGCGTGCCGCTTGGCATGTTTGGGGACAGGACTAGCCAGCATTATTTGGGACCCATGGTGCCCCTTTGCCTCCCTTGTTGTGTATGAAGAGAAAAGACACAACCCTGGACTCCCCATGCACACAGAACAGCCCGTCCTCCCCACCCATCTCCCACACCCAGCAACCAACTTGCTGAACCTCCTGGGCACACTCCCGCAGCTGCCCAGCCCCCACAGAGAGCCACTCATCTTCCCGCACCCAAAGACAGGAGCCCCCCAGCCTCGGACACAGTGGCCCACCCTAGTTGGCCCCCAGTGCACAGAACTGCAGCTCTCACCCTTCAGTAAGATGGGATCCAGGTACTCAGAGAAGGGTCCTGGGTTCCTCGTCAGCCTTGTGTTTTCACTTATTCCTGCCACTAGGGGGCACCCCAGGGCCCAATCCCCTCCTGCCCACCTGTGTTTGTCTCCTATGGGCAGCAAACCTGCCTGGCACCTCAGGGCCACTCTCATGCCCAGCCCTTTGACCCTAGGGAGAGCCTGAAAACGCCTTGCGCATTAGGGAGAACATGAAAAACAGCTTGGGTAGCCCATCCCTAAAATAGATCCATGCCCTTCCAGAGCTCACGCCTCCCCCGGCAGGCCCAGCCTCAGTGGGGAAGGACAGAGGTCGGGTTACAGCCCCCAGCCCATGCCTAAAAAGGGCAGGTGCCCTTCAGCTTCAGTGCTCTGGGGTTCTAAGTATGGCCCAGGCATAAATCCTGCAGGGGTCACGTCCACACCTGTGCCAGGGTGGGGTCGGCCCCAAGGAGCAGCCAGCCAGACTCACGTTCAGTCAGTCAGAGGAAGGCAAAGGTGGCAGCGAGCCGAAGGGAGGGCGGAAATAGCAGCCCCTCAGCTCCCCTGGCGGGGTGAGCAGCTCCACAGGGACTAGCCTCTGCCCTCCAGCTTGGATCTCAGCCCCATGGAGCCCTTGGGGGCTGCCCTGTGACCAGAGGGGCCCAAAGTGAGCGGGTCAGTGAGGCCACGGGCCTCATCCAGCCCTGGGGGGCAGTTCCTCTGGAGCTGCGGCTGCTCATGCCAAGGCTGAACGTGGGCCCACGAGGGGACCGGGAGGAAATCGATGGGGGAGGCTGGGAGGACAGTTTTGTTGGGGACGGGGGAGGGAGGGGGTAAGAATCTAGGAGTCCACGGAGACTGGGGAAAAGAGCTACAGCTGGGCTTGCAGGGAAATACTGGGGGGGGGGGGCTCCCAAACACTGGTGGCTCCAG